GTGTGTGTGTGTGTGTGTGTGTGTGTGTGTGTGTGTGAATGCGTGTGTGTGTGCGTGTGTGTGTGTGTGTGTGTGTGTGTGTGCGTGTGTGTGAATGCGTGTGAATGTGTGTGTGTGAATGCATGAGTGTGTGTGTGTGTGATCACACACTATGTATGGCGAGAGAGAGAGAAAAGGAGGGAGAGAGAGAGAGAGAGAGTGAGAGAGAGACAGAGAGAGAGAGAGAGAGAGAGAGAGAGAGAGAGAGAGAGAGAGAGAGAGGCATGTACATGTAAATGGGAAGGAATTCTGATTGGGGACCCTTTGGTAGTCATTTACATCGGGATTTACGTCCACTAGCCATTCTTAAGGGCTTTCCAAAAAAATCCTAGATCACTGTGTCCCCAGAATTGCTCTGCAAGCAAAGGCGGGCCTCTTGAGAGGTCATCACCGCAGCATGCGCCTTCAGAACGAAGAGCGGCTTAGCCTGATCATTGCTTTGGTCCTCTTATTTTGAAATGGGTCTCTCTCACTCTCTCGTTCTGTCTCTCGCTCTATCGCTCTCTCTCTCTCTCTCTATCTCTCTCCAACGAGGCGGAACTACCCCCTTGCCCTGTTACTTCAAAGCACATCAAACAAATCCAATCCTGCTGTAGGATGCCCCTGCTTTTCTTGGCAAGGCACAAAAAGAATCTTCTCATTCCAAATGGAGGTCACCCCAAAAAAGGGACAAGTACGCCTTTTTGAGCTCGTGTCGAGGAGGACCCCGGGCAAACGAAGCCCATGTTGGGTTCGTGTCCCATTCGAGGATGTCTTTTTGATGGAGCCCTACTGGTTGGCTTTGAAGGAAACCCAGGTAAAACCGCCGATTTTGGGGCTGAGCCCGATTTTCAGATTTCACAGCCCGATGGGCCCGACCCCACATCCTGATCTTTGAACCTTATCTCCCCAAAATGGCTTTCCTTTTGTTTGTTTCCCGAACACGTCAACCCATCCAACTTCTGTTTGGTTTGGGGACTCAAACCCATCCCGTCGCTTTCCCTCGACCTCCGGCCTGCTGGCCTTCAGCTGGCCTTCATGGGCCTCCCGTGCGACCGGAACCGAGCGCTGAAAGCCAAGGGCCCAAGGGGCCACCCGTATGGAGACCCGTATGGAGACCCGTATGGAGCCACGTGTTTCAGGGCCCCTTTCGTTGGTAACGAGCAACCCCGCGAAAACAGATGCAGTTGTAGTGCTGTTTTTTGCGGTTTAGGGTAGGCATGACACCATTCAGAGCGTGAAACCAGGTATCCTGGCAAGTGCCATTGGTTTTGTGGTGTCCTCTCCAAACTGTCAAAGTACGCCCAACTCGTTTTGCCACATCTCTAACTGCAAAAGTGTCCAGCCTCTTTAAGAAGGTTCGGCCAGAGGCCTTGTACTCCTGCAATTTCGTGTCCGCTGGTTTCAACAGAGATCAAGAGGCTCAACCAGAAGGGGGCAGTTACTGACTTGCTTGCAAAGACTGGTACGGAGCCACCTCTCCTGGCTTCTGTCCAAGCACCACACATGACACAGCGCCGATCCTGCTCTGACTCAACCACGGCCTTCTGCTCAGCGATCCTTTCAGCAGAGCTGGATATGACCCTTTGGTGGACATCATTTACAGCACGTCTGGGCCACGTGCTCGCCCCGTTGCTGCAGGTTGGAGAGCGACACCCTCCCGCGCCTGCAGTGGAAAAACTCTGCAAGTGGCGGCTCTCGTGTCGAGTGCCCCGGCTTCATCAGAGTCTGTTTCTGCTCCTCCGGCATATCCAAAGCCTGCATTGCAGGTAGGAAGCCACTCCCAACTCCCCCAAGCAAGCCCCATCTCGAAAAGCTGGCTCCGCTCATGGGGAATGCTCGAAAACCAGGAAGCTACAAAAGTTGCTTTTAGTACGGTTCCACGTCTGAACTCAAATGATTCGCCTCAACGAAGCCCTCTAGGTCCTCCATGATTTCCTCTATGACTGATGCACCTCACGATCACGGCCATGACGAAATGGCTGCCGAAAACTGGCCAAATTCAAACGGGGTAACCGAGCTGATGAAAAGGCACAGAAAAGGCACAGAAATCAAAATCAACATAAAACTGCACGCTTGGAGCTTCTGATAGACACTTCCCTGCGTTGACAAAACCCGCATCTACCCCATCAGTCGCAACCAAGCTTCTACTATATTTGGTTGCCCTTTGGTACAGTCTGGGCTCTGCGCCCATCTCCTCACACCAGTCGTTGGCCACGGGAACGAAGTCCTGCCCAGGATCTGTACCAATCCGCTGGCCTGCCGCCATGGGGAAAATTTGTACGGGTGTTTTCTACAAAAGATGATGAGGGCTCATGATGTGGACTTTCCTGTGCTGCTTGTGTTCTTTTTTTCCAGCGCTCAGCTCTGCCCTTGCCCCAAACTGCCCCCGTGCTGAAAGACATCCTTTGCGCTGCACAACATAATTTCAAGCGCGTGCAGCGAGTCCTCCAAGCCCATCTTATTGAACCACGTCTTCAGGCCGGGCACCGCCTAGCGGCAGCGGGAAGGG